CTAACCTCGATCCCGAAACTAAGCATCCAGCTATTATCCCGAGACACTCAAGATTAGCTATTCTTATCATAGACGAAGCACACGAGCTCACTTATCACGGAGGGGCACGATTAACAACGGCTTTCATGAGACGAAAGTACTGGATGCTCGGCGGTACCAGAACCACTAAATCAAGACTTCGCCACTGTGTTAAATGTCGGCGACACACTCCTGACCAAAACTATCAACTCATGGGAGACTTACCTTCAGCAAGATCGAATCCATCCAGGAGTTTCTTTCATACAGGTGTTGATTACAGCGGTTTTGTATCCGTAAAGGCCAACAAGGGTCGTGGTGGCAAGACTACCAAGGGATATATCGTAGTTTTCGTTTGTATGGCCACAAAAGCCGTACATCTGGAACTGGCATCCGACTTGACAGCATCAGCGTTTTTAGCAGCGTTACGCCGCATGGCAGCAAGACGAGGAACTCCCGGACACATCTACAGTGATCAAGGTCGCAATTTCAAAGGTGCTAACAATATTTTGCAACGAGAGTATTCAGCGATTCAAGAAATATTCAGCCCAAACTTATGGGAAGCTGCGGTTAAGAGCTTGAAATATCATCTTAAGCGCGTAGTTGGCGAACAAGCCCTTACTTTTGAAGAATACAGTACCCTACTTTCTCAACTGGAGGGATGCCTAAACTCGAGACCTCTATGTGCATTAACCGAAGATCCCAATGACTTAGACGTTCTAACACCTGCCCACTTTCTTTCAAGTGGTCCTATGTTGAACATCTACGATACCGAAACTGATTTAAGGACAAGGTGGTATTTAATCCAAAAAATATTTAACGATGTTTGGGAAAGATGGCGCAATGAATATTTAACCCAATTAGCGGCCAGGAATAAATGGAGAAAACCGCAGCCAAATATCAAAGAGAATGACATCGTCATTATCAGGGACGAAAACCTTCCTTCGGGAAAGTGGCCCCTCGGCCGAGTTGTGCAGCTACACCCGGGCAATGACGGGTACGTCAGAGTTGTCACTCTTAGAACCAAAAACGGAATCTTACAACGGCCGATCGTGAAGCTTTCAATTTTACCGGTTGAGCAAAATCAAGAAGGGACAAGCAGTTCAACAGAAAAACAAAACCAAGAAAATGAAAATAAATCAATCCCTAAATCAAGCAGAAGAAAACAATATTGCTTAACATCAATGTTTAAATCGCTTTTATTATTCTTTATTGCAATCATCCCGACAGTACAATGCTCCTATAACATAACACCATTACAAAACAGCAGTCTCTATTTTGATACAATAACAAGCATGCATTTAATACGAGACGACTGGCGCCTCGTTGTCTACTATGACACATTCCCTTATCAAGAAGGTAATACGGCGCTAACAAAATATATACAATACTTAAATAACATGTGTGTAATTATGAAGGCACGATCACATTGCGAAGAGATCTTGTTGCAACTTCGGCACGAGTTCACGGAACTGCAATATTATAATAACATTTTAACTATTCAACATGATAACATACTAGAAACCCGCCCACGTCGCCGGCGCGGCTTAATCAATGGTGTAGGAAGTATTGCTAATAGTTTATTCGGTATTTTAGACGAAAGTTTTGCCGAAAAATATGAAAAGGACATTGAACTTATCAAGCGAAATCAAAACCATTTAGCAACCCTATGGAAAAATCAAACGACCGTAGTGGAAGCGGAATTTAATTTACTAAAACGCACTAAAGAAATCATGGAGAAGAACCACAAGAATATTAACAGAAAAATTATATCTCTAGAAAATTCAGAGGATCAATTCAAGAGGGAGCTTCAGAATATTTCCTTCACGAGTGAATTTATCAGTACAGCCATGCTAACAAGTAACCTTATTATCAGCCTCAGAAATATACAACAAAATTTACTCGACACTATTACAAATATATACAACGGAAAATTTAATTTCCACTTGCTATCTCCCAACCAGTTAAGACAAGAACTGAACGTTATAGCAGGCCAGCTCCCTAAAGACCTATCATTACCAATAGATAACTCTAATTCGTATGAAATCTACAACTTACTGCAGGTGCGAGCTCGAATAAGAAGTAACTATATCATATTCGAAATCAAGATACCTCTCATCAGCAGAGATATGTTTGAAGTCCTGGAAGTCATACCAGTACCTTATATATCAGAAAATAAAGAAGAAATTTCCGTAGTACCAGTATCAAGATACATCGCTATCAACTTGAAAAAAGACTCCCTAGTGCCACTGACTGAAAAGGACCTGGATTTATGTACTAGAAGAGATCCCAAAATTATTTTGTGCCATCATAAAAGACCTATTTACTACATAAAAGATGATCATAGTTTCTGCGAGACTCTGCCCTTCTCAAGAAAATGTAAAACAGTTACCAGACCCTGCTACAATCGCTGGATAGAACTAAATAAACTAAATACATATTTCTATTTTTGTTGCGACCAGTGCAAAACGAAGTTACTATGTGACGATCAAGTTACGGCAGTGCAATTGACCCGCTCTGGCCTATTTAATGTTGGTCAAGGTTGTATAGTCAAAGCAGCTGATTTCTTTGTTTATTCACACCGACAAGAACTTAGCGAAATGAACATCAGTTCTGATATACAAGCCCCTAAGATATCACCAATTAATCACATCATCAATATATCGTTACCCGATCGCTCCTTACCGAACAATACGAATGATGATATAGCCAATAATCTACAGATGATCAAGGAACAGATTGAATTTATGAAGAACAACGAGCCCCTAGCAGAGAGGGTTTCTTATCATGATGTCCACCACTACGCTGCGATATATGTGTTATTTGCGGTCGTTGCGGTGGGCGCCCTGGTGTACAGCTGGAGGCGCTGCAGGCGGTCGGCGCCGGGAGCACCCGCGGAGGCGGGAGTGTCGGTGCCTATGACGGAACAGGAGACATCGTCGCCACATTTTCTACCGAGTGTCAGTGCTCAGTGTAGTGAAAGTGTTACGGTCAATCAGTGTCAAAGTGTGAATGCTCAGTGTAGTAAATGTTTTAGAGGCAATCAGTGTCAAAGTGTGAGTGCAAATGATTTTTCAAAAAAGAATGCACGTGTGTTTAAGCAAAATAGAAGCACTTCGCCTGTGCTAAGATCCGTGTACGCAATTCCAAACCAGTGTACATAGACTAGTCTTAGATAAGAATATTGTTTAATCACCTTGTACATTCGTGTACTAATCAAGTTATCATTTGCACTATAGATAAGAAATAATGGTATCACCTTGTAATTAGATTAAGCCTCACTAGCATCCATCATCTCTATTTGCTTCTACTAACCCCATCTTTGCTGCCCGGGAATATGTACGAGCATGTAATGCAACGTACAATTGTTAAGTCATCATTTCACAACTTGACCTCTTTTACATATTTCCGCGGCACAGGTATTTTAAAATCAGTTCGCCGATAGCCATCAAGAGCGCTACGCGTACTCATTATCAGTAGTTCTAGCCTTTTAATTTGTATACTTGTCCATAATATATTTCATCAAACTTATCAAGCGTTATCAGTTTATCATCCCCTTAGTGTCGGTACTACCCCGAACAGTAACAAATGAGCAACTGATAGTAAGTACATGCTGTGATCCATAGACATCTACATCTATCCTCGATTACGAATCAGAATGCAGATGAGTTGTCACACGTGAGGACTAAGATAGAATGCCTCGTTTCCAGTAAAAAGGGTCTCCGGTTCTCTACACTCACTATAAGAAACACAGCAGCATTAAGCTACAATTTAACGCTGGTATTCTGTGAGAGCGTGGTCCTTCCCCGGTCGAGCCGACCCATTCGTGCTACAACTATACTATTAATATAACTGCAGCATGGCTCTACCACATATAAACTCTTGCTTAAAGCTTGTGTGGCTATCATTATGGCAATAATATTAAAAAGGAGAGAGTCGATTTTAACGATTTTTTTCTAACATCTTCCATTGAAGCGACATTTTTTATTTTTTTATAAATTGGTAGGAACTTCTGAAGTACATTCATGCGCTTACAATTGTTCTTAAAACCATCATACGATGTGTCGCATTATATGGGCGTTGTTTCCAAACATAATATGAAAGCCTGCAAATATTTTTGATGGATTGTAGATGGTCCCGTCGAAACAGGATTCTCGCTTTCGTTTGCGATTTCGCCTGCATCACTACAAAAGTCATCCTCTTCCATCGCTTCTCCTATGGAGAAGACAGACTGACGCGATCCGTATCGCAGCAACATTACACGCGCGATATTTATCACGATCCTTGGGTCGCGATATGGATTTTCGGAAATCTAGAAATTCTGTGATCCGTATCGCGATCCATCAATACTTGATACTACACGTTCAATAAATATCACAATCCTGGATCGTGATCCAACGATCGTGATAAATATCACTTGTGTAGCATTCGCCTTTCGATTCGCGTTTGCTCACTGTGAATGGCGTTCGTTCCTTCCTTTATGTTGGTAGAACTGTCGCGTCGTGAGATAAACTGAAAATTGTAGAATACATATCGGCGCTGACGTCGGTGAGTAGTGACTACGAAGTTAGCTGTTTATGAGTAGAAAATTTTCATGCTCCGTAATTTTGTAGTTTTTGACAAAAAGAAATATTAAAAAATGGAGAAATATTTTATTGTGCATGGATGTGCAAGTGGTTGAGCATCTGATCGGAAAAATAGACTGAAAATGACTTTTATTGACTGCACTTAGTGACCGCAGCGCCTCACTGATGGTGTCCATATTTCTGGGAAACCATTTTCTACGGCGATCGTTCTCCTGTACTCTAACCTTCATGTTTATGTTTTATAAATACTTTGACAGTTTGTGTTGTGTTTGTTGTTAGCATAGAGGAAAGTAATATATGGTTGTGAGGTTTCTTGAAATTTTGTTTCTTGAAAATAATAAATTATAAGTAAAAATCGTTTCATTCAAGTAACAATCATTCGATTAGATGGTGACATATATGGAGCAGTAAGTTGAATTTAATTTATTTAGTGCTTAGGGAACCTATGTTGTGTATTTTTTACCTAGGTTTCACGGACTATAATTTATTGGTTCTAGGCACGGAGATCTCAGCAAACCATCCTCCAATGCAAGAGGTAGGATGACTTGTATAAAAAATTGGGAGGAACTAGCTCAATTACTGAATAGTGATGGTAGCGGTGATACAAAAAGTACTGAGAAATGGGAGAAGGTACGTCAAAATGGCAATTTATTTAATACATACTTTGGTTTAAGCCGGGTTGCGGTTCTCTAATTTTATGAAAAAATTGCTTCTCTGCTTGCTTTAAGATTTGGAGTGATTATAAAATAATACGAAAAAAAGGCTGCACGTCTGCATAAAGCAGCTAGAGGTACTGGTGGTGGGCCTGCTATACATAAAAAACATAAATTGACGGATTTGGAACAAAGGGTCCTAAATTTGATTGGTGTAGAAGTAGCTACGGGTTTGACAGTTGAAGAGGCTGGGTTGTCACAGGTTACAGCTTTTTAAATTAAATTAAGCGACTTTCTAGTGGATAATATATTACATAAATTGTATTTTTTTTTCAGGGGTATTATATTCAGGGTAATCCCATAGTGAATATTGAACAAGGCATACTGAATCCACAACCACATCACTTAGTAGAATGTAAGTTGCAGGATATCAGCATATTGGTAACAGTATATAATAATTTTTATTTTATTTTAGGTCCTTCACAGCCTGGTCAGGAAAATATTGCCTCATCTCATCTCTTGCCTTTGCAGAGGAAGAAGTTCAAAGTAATATATAACATACTTATTAGACTGTGTATAAACTTCAGACTATTACCGAGTTTGTTCCGGGTATTAAACCCAGAAATTCTTGCTTGGCAGCAGCACTTGCAACCACTCAACCACTGAGGCAGTGCTTCACATTTTCCGAATAAATTAAAAATAATAAAATATACATGAAGCATTCAATATACACTCAATGGGTTAAATATTAATAAATCTTAAATTAGTTAATGTTATAAATTTACAAGCCAACTTGTCTGTCGTTTGTACACAACTATATTAATTTTGTTGAAACTTTAATTTATATTTTTCATATTTTAGGTTTTCAATCTTGTAACCCTGGCCCTTGACCCAGGGCCATCAAGACGAATGTTGCTAATAATCATGTTGCCCCAGCAATGACTGTGGCATCTCCGCCTGTTTCATTTGTGGAGGTAGAAGTGGAAAGAAAGATAGAACTTAATTTTTCATGAAGGTGATAATTTCAAATAAATGTTTTAACATATTAACATTACATAAATTACTACAGATACATGCATGCTCTCTCCAACTATGCCCTCATCTCAAGTCCAAGAAATTCAGCCAGGGCTTGCTTTATCCGGGCAATCAATACCTCACTGTGGTAGACCAATTCAAAAAGTATTGTAAAGATTAGTCAATTAATATTTATTTATTTTAACTCTATTGCTATTAATATTGTTGTTACTTATACTATGTTACTATTAATTATTTTATTTAAATGAATAAAAGAAATGTTTAAGCTTATTAAAACTGATTTATTTAATTCTTATAATTATAGTAATTAAATAATATATTATAGCAATTTGATTTGAAATTAAGATACCCACCAATATTTTCCTCTGTATCCTCGACACCAAAATTAATAATTATGTTATGTAGCACAGAGCATGTTAAAATAATGTGTGCACATTTTACAGGCTTGTAATGCAGAACTCTGTCCTTGTGCAGACATCGCCATCGATTTTTCAGCCTTGAGAATGTGTTTTCAATTACAACTCAAGCTTGCATATGTTTTTCATTACAATTATTAGACTCAGCATCTAAAAATGCGTTGTGGATATCTACAATCTCCTAGAGTTAAAATATAGATGTTATTGTCAATAATATAGATGATAGGTATTATTTAGTAATGTGTTGCTTAAAAATACTTCATATAAATCAAAACATTCCAATAAGTTATACTGTAAATATATTACCTAAATCATGATTTGCACCTCTGAACTTGGAATTGACCCTTTTTTTTTTTGAAAGTTCTATATTCATCATCACATACCTGAAAAGAAGACATTTTGTTTATTTTCTGCCCCTTTTTAACCAATCAATAATATAATTCAAATAAAAAGAACTTTAGATTTACCATTTGAACATCAAGGAAATGGTAGTGCTTACAGCTATAATACAAATGTTCCTCTTCTTTTGGTGGGACAACTATTTTAAAATGACTTCCATCAATACAACCAACCACTCCAGGGATTCCATTTTTTCTGTAAAAACTAAATTTTATAATAAGTATTTACCGAATCAAATAATTTGCTTAAGGTTGTTTAAAAATAAGTATATATTTTATTAAAGTGTACTAACTGCTTGTGTAGCAGCTGGAGTATCAGGAAACCGAATATATTTATTAATTATATTTTTGTATGTCAGCACCTGGGTAACTTCTATGTACACACTGCACATTTTTTGTGATATGTGCTTTGCAACTCCAACTGGCCTTTGGTAAGATCCAGTTGCAAAAAGAATAGAGCAGTGGGCACCTGCAATTAAAAAGTGAACAAACTTATACTTGCACATGTTTTTTAAACTTAAGTTGCAGAAATTTAAAAAAAAATTAATGATCGATATAAACTTTATGTTCCAAGGAAACGCGTTGGGAGGATCTAAGATTTGTCAAACTCCTTAGCTCTTAACATAAAAACTTGTACACTTTCTTGGAAAAGCGATATCTATCTTTAAATTACCTCTCGTGAGGTGTAAGAAGGGTTTGAAAGATGCACGAGCTCTTGTTTCAACAATGGCGTTATAATTGCGGTCATCTTTTGCCTTAGCGGCTGTAAACATCCTTCATGTGAAATAAAAACGTCCTGCCATACTTAAATATCGTTCACACAATACGAAATAAAATTAAACCTTCAACAATTGTTCTCACTACACTGTCTCAGTATAAAAATCTGTGTGAAAACTTTTTCGATAGCGTCAGAGTAAAGTTTGTTTATGTTATTCCTCGAACGATCAAAATTGCCACTCACATTGTGTTTCAAATTACTGTCACTAGTTGACGCTTTTTTTATTCCATACAAATCGTAGTTAACTTTATTGCAGGCATTTATAGGCACACAGATAACACTTGACATATTTCTCTGCTGAGTGCTTTTTCCAAACTCCTTGAAAATTGGTTAATAAAAGATTATTTTCTTATAGTGAACCACTGCTAAATTATTTGTCACTGCTAAGTAAAGTGTTTTTCATTTTCATTTTAATCTGTATTATATATTGTTATCGCGTGCGACGCTCGTTTGTAATGTTGCGGTGGTTGGAAAAGTCTTGTGTCAAAGCCCTAAGATCATCATTTAATAAACTGATCAACTTGTATCTCGTATAAAAGTATGAAAATCTTTATCGTCATATTGTTTACAATATTCCGAAGTGCGACGTCTTCAAGTTAAATTCAATCTTGTTAAAACGCCAAAGTTGTTGCAAAGTATATGCAAAACTTTCAAATTCTGTTCGAGCTAGTTTCCTTTTCATATTTTGAAGAACATGAGATATACGGAAGAAAGTGCCCGTGTTTTCAGCTATATGCATTTATATTTAATGTAGAAATTTACTTATTTTATCGGTTAAATTTAAGCTGTCTTTAGTTTTAAGGGCAAAAAGGCTTTCTCTCTCACATATACATATATATATGGTTTACATGTACAGTAGTAGTTTTTCCTACGTCGAGGCGTTAATCCGGATGACTATCATCCCGTGGGTGCCGTAAGAGGCAATAAAGGGAAGAAAGATCTTATCACTTCTGATGGATGGATGGATGGATTGTATAACGTCTCGTTTACACCAGACGAAGGGCAGCAGCGTCGAAGGCGCGAGACGTCGGGCACTGCGATCGTCAATCTGTCTACCAAGATTCAGGCAATTCCTCTCTGTAACGGAATAGACAAATGTTTAGCAGTGGATATTTGTGAGTTGATGAAGAAAAGGAGACATACTTATACCTTCAAGAAAAGAACCTACTCCTTTTTAAAAGGTCGGTAACGCATCTGAAATTCCCCTGGTGTTGCAGTTATTCATGGGCGGTGGTAATCACTTACCATTAGGTGAGCCGTATGATCGTTTGCCTCTCTCCCATAAAAAAATGTATCTCTTAGTCATTTCTCTTACGTCACAAACGGGACCATATAAGGGAAGCTGGCATTATAGTCAAAATCAACGTCTTTTTAAACCTAACATAAACGTCGGTAAAACGCCACCGAGTACCGGAACAAACTTATGTTTGAAGTCGAATCTTTGCTAAACAAAGTCTCAGATTTGGAGCCATTAAATCTAGTCCAATTCAATCCCCAGAAGACACAAGTTTGCGCGTTTACCGCTAAAAAGAACCTCTTTGTCGTATCTCCTCAATGCACTCCTCTTGTTGTCTTAGCCAGTATCGGAATCTTAGCCGTCGACATATCGAATGATATGCAGTTTCGTGGTCACCTGGAAGAGAAGGCCAAATTGACATCTAATAAGCTTGGCGTGCTTAGCAAAGCGGGACAGTATTTCTTTCCGGCATACCGCTTGCAACTTTAGAAGGCACAGGTTCGGCCGCACATGGAATACTGTTCCCATCCCTGGGCTGGGGCTCTCAAGTGTCATCTCCTTCTACTTGACTGCGTAGAGTGGCTAGAGTCGCCGACGATCTAGTTTTCTACGATCGGCTCGATTCACTGGCGCTGCGAAGATATGTTGCATCTCTTTGTATTTTCTATCCCATTTACCACGGGGAATGCTCTGAGGAACTGTTCGGATTAATTCCATCCGCCGAATTTCATGAACGCACATCGCGACAAAACTCAAGGTAACATCCATGCCATCTGGATGCTTGGCGGTTCACCACCGTACGTTATACTATGAGTTTTCTTCCTTGCACAGCCCCTCTTTGGAATCGTTTAGCACCGGCGATTTTTCTGGACCAACACGAATTACGGACCTTCAAGAAAAAAGCTTACTTCTTTTTAAAAACATAACAACGCATCTGCAATTCCCCTGGTGCTGCAGATGTTCATGATCGTCGGTAGTCACTTACCATCAGGTGAGCCGCATGTTCTTTGTTCCCTCTTTTATAAAATAAACTTCTAAAAATAATTAATTCACAGTGCTATGGATAATAGACAATAATATTTGAACATGACAACACATATTAATATGTGACCCAGAAGCTAAATTGCGTTTGCGATGTCCGTAATTCACCAGTGATTGATGATTTAAGTTAATTAAACGATAATTGCATGTACTATAAAGCAATGTTTACACTAATGATTGCTGATAGCTAATAAATAGATCACGGTGTTCAATTTTCATGATTATAACTACTTTATTAAAAGGCTACATCCATTATTATCATTCTATTTTAGTCTACAAAAGTCCATGCTGAACATAGGTAGTGGCGGCCCGAGCAAAAATTTTAGGTGGTGCGAGATCTCATAGTGGCGCCCCTCTAAATTCAACACCTTAGTGTTCCTGTACTATGCAAGCGCTTTTTTGTGATTTTAAATAGTATTAGACCTATCAAATATCTACAGGTGTAAATGCGTGGCAAGCACAGTGGTGTCTGTCGCTCTTGCCATAGCAGTTGTTCTGCTTATTTGCATTGAAGAAATGTCCATTCCGCTCGCACTACTCTGTTGCGCTTGACAACACTACTATGCGTGCCTTACTGCGGTGACTAGTTGTGCAGATTAATTCTCATAGTAAGAGTTGATAATCTTGTTTAACAACTTTTATTTAAAATGTTGTTCTGCAAAGAATGTTCAAAAAGATAAAAGAACTACCAACAAGAAAAATCAATGAAAAGTCTAGATGGCCAGCTTTCTGGCTTATGCGCTTGCAATTATTTTATTTATTCGGAATAATTTAACTTTCACCAAGATATGACAGTCTTTCCTGACATATAGTAGAAACGCAGGTAAATTTTTAAATGTTTTAATGTACTAAAACTTCGTTTTCGTTTAGCGACAGTTATAGTACAGCAAGATACGAAGTGCTGTCTACACATTTGTGAAAAATATCCTGCCAACCATTATTTTTAATAATTCTGAGAACTTTATATGACTCTGGTGATTGAAGA